ATATTCTCCAAACAGAAAAAGGAAAAAAGAGTGATATACAGTTCTGGGCATACTTCGCGCAAATTCGTTCAACCAAAAGAGCAAAGGCAACGAAAAAAAAAAATAAATAACGAGAAAATACAAGAAGTACTAAGGTAAGACATACAAAGCACACAAACTTTCTGGTCATTAAGTGAACTTGTAATGAATCAATAAACAGTCTGTGCATCGTTTCCAGTTTCAATTATATTCCTTTTATTTGAATTCATCATCAATAAATTTCACGTGACCCGAACTCAGTGCAAGTCATCGTAGTACATCACAAATAGGTATTGTTATGATTACTAATTATCATCGTTATTGTATGTTACCAAATATTATAATAAGTGTTTACCGTAAGACCAATCGTAATTAGTTAATAAATCGATCGTATATTTCCGATTTCTATCTGCAATATTTAATTAAACGACATTACATTGTGTATATCCTTACTCTTTTTCGTAAACGTTTCCTTTACTTAATCGTAAATACGTGAAATCGATCATATATTATCTCGGATTAGGGGATAGAGAGGGTGCTATCGTTCTCACTATGGTGATGAAAGATGAAAGAGGGAGGAGAGGGGGTAGAATGTGGGTGGTAAGGGTACGATGTGTATAATTATAAAACTGATAAAAAGACCTCCGAGATTTCGTATTGCTAATTCGCGCCGAAATAATTCTTTGTATTTCGCCCAGGCTGGAAATTCTGATGCGAGCGCAAAATTAGTTTTCACCTATAGTTTAACGAGCGATCGGTCGAGCTGCTTGCAATATCGATTGCTTATAATCGATATATTTAGAAAAAGAAAAACACTATATTTATGTGTACATATAGTGTCTTTTTGTCGAATTGTTGCGATACAAAAAGAATCGCGATTGTGTTGCGGTGAAATTCAAATAAGAGTAGCGAGTTATATTTCCCTTCGGTTTGTTGCTCTACCGGTTTTCTGCGCGATACAAAATACAATTAATTAATCAATTAATTAATTTGTTAACCTACCTACTATGTACACATGTATCACTATGTGCGTATGCATGGATGGACCGGCGCGTGTAAGCGTCATGTATCTGTATATGATTCTGCATACGTACATATATATTTAGATTTCCGAACGCTACGAAGCGCTCTGCATTGCGCATTGCAAAAAGTCACATTCTTTGCTACTCAAGTGCAATGGCTCGCGAGGGATCTGCGAGATTTCCCGTTCGTTGATTCGCCCGATTAACGTAATACCAATAGCCGAGATGAATAAGAATTATTATCGAAATAATAATCACATACACAGACACGACGTACAAATATATAAATAAACAAAATCAAACCGAATTGAATCGACGCACGGCTGCACAAGCGTTGGGTATCCTCGATTTTTCTTTCCCCGCGTTCTCTCTCCTAACGACTGCGAATCCTTTAAAATTTCAATGCGCCGTGATTGCCATCCTTCGTTGTTTTCGACTACGCGGGTTGTTAACAGTAGAATGGCTAAATCTATTATGTTATCAAATAAATTCAAATAGTTTTTAAGACGCATCACAATTTATATTCTTTTCTTGAATCATTTTTTTATTATTAACAGAATTGGTATCATTTTTTAAATATAAAATTGAAAAAAATGGCTCTTTTGTAAAGACACAAATTATGAAAAAATATTTGGCAAACAATCCTTATCTCTTTTTTCATTTTGCAAAATTGATATTCTAGACAAACTTATTGTTAGAATTCAGCCGTTCTAATGTTCCTCGTGACCTTTTTGCTTTCAAATTATTTCTAAATATTGAGAAAGACATTTAAATATTTCCTTCCTTACATGTAGCGCTCAATAATTTTTTGATAATATAGTTTTTACGTAAGTTTTTGAAATTACTTTATAAGTTTTTTTTTTAATTCGTTGCTATTTGGTTACACTGGGCATCAAGAGTATCGAATCGTGACTGAGCTACCATCTCCCCAAAAGCGTTTACCTTTTATCGGAATGTAAAATATAAATTTACTTTATTCTTTAATTCCAGACATTCCCGATACGCCGGTTCGTACGACCGTGTTGGGAAACGAGTGCATTAAATCCGAAACCCTCTACGACAAGTAGAGTTCATTATTTGCGAGTTGAATTCGCCAAGAAGTACCCCCGCAAATGAACCGACGCGAGTTTTCGCGCCGATATTGCGCTACTATCTCGATTTCATTCGTTTCCCTCCATCTTCGCCAGAGACTATACCACCGCGCGCGCGCGCGAGAGAGAGAGAGAGCTACATGCCCCGTGAAAACTGACTCGCAAAACTTGTTAATTTCGCGAGTGCCGCCGGGCGAAAACGGAAAAAGAGGCGATGACGGCTCCGGGGAAATCTGCGAACTCGCGCATTAGAAAACTCCCAGTGCATGCGGACGCGAAGTTTCGCAGGGGCGATCTTGTTATTGTTTCCGAAATGTTTCTCGCGCGCTCCACCAACTGCGGGGAGGCCCGCGTACCGAAGGCCGAGGCGATATTGCACGATCGTATCTCGGTTATCTCTTACCGAGTGCGCTTCGCAAGGATCGCAGTCTAATTCCGGAAAGCTTCGTCCGTTCTTCCCGAAGCACTTACAGAAGTACGATATTTTAATATTACTCTACGCCAACCTACATTTATTCCTAAGTGTCTCTGTAACACGTATATCTAGAGGAAATAATTAATTTAAGAAACGGGCGTATTTATAATAGAAGTGACAGAATTTCAGCGCAACCGCAATTTTCTACGAAATAATCGTGTCGCAAGATAGATCGTTTATGCGGTGTGAACCGAGATGCGAAAAATAATGTGAGCACACATCTTCGTTTGCATCGTTCGGCGACGACGTTTTGAAGACCCGACGTTTGAGAAACAACGATAACGGTCCGTGTGGCAAAAATAACTTTGATGATCATTCTATTTTTCGGTTTCCGCACGACAAATGTATTAAAAGCTGCTGATCGTTGCATGTTATTATTAATAACAAATCGGTCTAATTTATCTTATAATTTTATTTTTTTTTAATCTGACAAACGTTGCAGCATGTAACTTAAACTGAGCAAATGTTTTTTTTTAAGTGAAGATATTAGGTCAAAAATATAAAATCGAAAATTTCACAAAATAACTGAGCAAATGTTTTTTTAAGCGAAGATATTAGATCAAAAATATAAAATCAAAAGTTTTAAAAAATAAAAAATACCTAGTATAATCATCCCAACAGTTTAGCGATATCATAAAACATTATAAATCATATAAATCGAGATAAATTTAGAAAAACGCTTGTAAATAGTAGAAAAACCTAAATTAGAAGCTTCGCACAGTTTTATCGGTTGCACATTTGCAAATCTGTCTACTTCTATTAATCAGCCGTATATTCTGGTCTATATAAGTTAATCGTAAGTATTCATCACGTTTTCATCGTTGCCGTTATAATCGTACCTGATTTAGGAATTTATATACTCTCAATATTTTTAGACCTTTATGTCGCTCGCGATCTGTAGGAATCTATTGTATCTCTACGTGTGATATCTTAAATTAGATTTGCTTTGTCGTCACATCTTGCTGGATGTCGATATATTACTGCTGCTCATTGCATAATTTTCATTTCCCGCCGTCATTTCGCAACTACAAAATATATACGCAAAATCTTTGTCGTTCACGCAACTCGATTTCACCTCTCTCGCTGTTCGTCGCTTTCAATATCGAGCTTGCTTTATTTTTCATAAACGTCACCGTACGACTTCTATGGCTGCCGATATTCACTGCAAGTACCGAAAATCTATAATATACGTTACGTGCACTATAGATTTTCAGCACTGATGAATATCGGAACGCAGCCTATATTTATCTATTGCAAATTATACTCGCCAAAATATCAACTACACGGGATTGATCGCCATCAGTCGCTGTTACGACTGATTTTGAATCAATCGACGTAAATCGCGGAATTGTCATCGAAATCGTATTCACTAATCACCGACTACAGTTGCGCACTAGTATCGAGAGACTATACCGTCTCTACCGCTAAAGATATACATATCTCTCTTCACGATCGAACACGTGACATTAATTGAGTGAGCGTATAGAAATATATAGCGCTTTGTAATCCTAACTAGACACTCTCGAAGTTTCTCCCGTTACAATCCTCGCAATATTTGTCATGTGTTCTCAAAACTAATGTCCGATTTCCAGCCCAGGATCCATCGATACTATACCGTCACTATATCGATCGCTCGTCTGGCGCGACGAACGTAAGCCGTCCGGCTCGCGTAATCAGATCGCCTTATGGATCCGCGCGGCGTAAATTACTGTAATTAGCGACGTGTGTCTATATAACCCGCCTGCGAAATCAGGATATTCTCGGTGCCCGCTGCAATTTCATCCGTTGTCATCGTTACGCTCTAATCACCATAGGCGTTCCGTTACGCCCCGGTTGATTAATTCACCCGGCGCGTTACGCTCACGTGAGAAAAAAAAATAGAGAGGGAAGAAAAACGCAAAGAGAGAAAGAGAGAAAGAGAGAGTGAGAGAGCGAGGAAGGAGGGTGGGGGCGGGGGAAAGGGGGAATGAAAGGACGAAAAGAAGTGACGCGTTGGCGCGGCGTCGATCTGCCTTGTCGAACAATCGAACGTCATCGACACTCGGTGTCGAGTCGAGTCTAAAAGTCTATAACGCGCGCGTCGGAGCCTCTCTAGTAATACGCGTGAACGTAAATGAGATTGTGAATGGGATGATGATGGGCATGGGGATTGTGCAGGGGGGTGCACAGGGACGTCGTTGTAATGGTGGTGGGGGATGGTGGATGATTGACAGATTGCATCGTGGATACGGGCGACACCTGATTGGGGGGACCGGCCGGCACTTGGTACACGGTACTGGGCGCGGCCATCGGGCACCTTGAGGCCCCGGCTGCGCCGTGTTGGGCCCCATGCTGTTGTTGTTGTTGTTGCTGTTGTTGTTGTTGTTGTTGAATGTAGTTTGGTGGTAGACATACCTCGAGGCGGTCGGTACGTGGCATCTTCTGCGGCATCGCCACTGTCTGCGGTACCACGCCGAGCGGACTGCCGACGCCCGTTGGGTCCGCCGGGCCCATTATCGCCGGCATTATCGGGCTGGGCGCGAAGTACGGGCTGTACGTATTGCCAACCTGCGGCATACCGGTCAGGTACGGGTTCGTCGCCTGCGAAAACACACCCGGAAGATATCCAGGTAACACGGATTAGAACACACCTGTCCCCCGCCTTCGCTCCACGCGTTTTCGAGATTGTGCACGTCGCGACGCGCGCGATTTCGAGACCATATTCAAACGCGTGCTTTTTATACCTGAATACATTCGTGTACGGAGTATTGGTATTATGTGGCCAATAAAAACGTCATTTCTTATAAAGCGAGCCGATTTGATTGAAAATTTTGCGATTACAGCCATATTTTCAAATTATTTACAATAAGAGTTGATAATGCACAAAAATAGAAATACTAATTTCGAATGAATGTCGAATAAAAAGCACTATTTGCCTTAATTCAGCAATTCTCAAAAATTTCCGACAAAGTTACTTAAGTGTTACGAACTATTACATTACATGACGTTGGAAAAGATTAAAATGTATCTAATTAATAAATTTATATTTAACAAAAGTAATATGAGGTTTACTCTACATTACATAATGTATATTGCATGTTAATAAATGTACATATGTTCTGCATTTTCGTTAATAATTACGATTGACTACATAGCAAATTGTAACTGCGATTCAAGAATGTATTAAGAATGTGTGGGAAAAGATTTCCTTACAAATCAGCTCGTTTTAACGAACAGTTTAACTCTTCAACAAGGAGTTAAACGTTTTCTCCTGTTTGTGCCACCCCAATTACCAAATACTCTGTATATGCGATCTACCATTTCTGAATGTCCGTGTAAACTCTGCTTCAAGGTGCATTAAAGCTTTGCGAGCAATGCTCTCCGGTGTTTATCAACTTTAAGGCGCGCAATATACATCGCTTGGTTTACGAGCCATCGCCGTGCTCGCTTCAATTTCGGATAAATAAGCAACATCGTTAATATCTGGTGTAATAACAACATGTAATGAAGGTAAATTATATATTAATATATTGCCGAGAAGAAATTAATACACCGCGATCTTAAGCTGCTTAATCCGCAAAAACTCTGGGAATTTGGAACAAGTAACACGCATAAAAAATATATATACATCGAAACGTATTTGATAAGATGTAAAAATTTTACACATTTTGTCCCGATTTATCGTAAACAATTTAATCAAATAAAATTATTATTAGAAATTAGAATTAATTTTACATTTTTCTCTGAAACAAATTTAATTAGATATCAATTCTTTTCAACACTAGTTTAAGATAATGTCAAATTAAAATACACAAAAGTAAAAATAAAGTAACACTTAGCTGCAAAATTATTACCTAATTACACATCTAAAATTATTTTACTTGTAAATATTATTTATATTTCAAAATTATTATCAATATCAAAACTCGATAAATGAATTGAAACTTGTAAAAAAGTGACTTTTAGAGAAGTTACACGTGATAATATATACAAGGATTAACTTGAAACTTGAAAAACATGCGAAAGACGGAGAATCTGCCAAGAAAAGGCGTCTCGTTTACGGATCTCGCAAAGCCTTAATCGTCCTTTTTCTCTTCTCTTGTGCCCTCCCCTTCACTTTTAACGACAAGCGTACGTTCCCACACGAAGCGTTTGGTTTTGCAGCGAGAGCTGGCTCCCAGAAGCGAAGGCAGGTAATTTCAAGCGCATCCGAACGAGCAGAATACTCGTTCCTTCTTCTCAAAAGCCTCTGGTACCCTGGGAGCTTTCGTCGTTGTAAAAAAGCTTTCGGAAACGTGGCCAGGTAATTGTTGGAAAATATTAATCGAGCAGTATTTACGATCGGACATTAGTATCGCCAATTTTTCAGTTTGTCATAAAAAAAAACAAAGATGTGTTATTAATACTACAGAATTGAAATATTGTATGTATATCATATTTCCAAGATTACCATACCTCGTATCCATTTCTTTCGTCTCTTTGACTCTTATAAATTTCATTCGTATTATATACAAAAAAATCTAACAATTTTTATATTTAAATATTTCGTATATTATAATGTTAAACGTAAAAATATTTCAAAGAGAAAGAAGAAACACACGTCGTTTTCAGAGCCAAAGAACGCGCAAATTTTATTTAGCCGCAATACTTCATGCTCTCCTCTCTTCTACGGGAAAAACTTTACGGAAACATATACAAACAAATTTTCTTTCCTCAATAAACAAACAAAACATCTCGTAAAGCATGCAAATAAGTTATTGACTCACTGCGGCGCGCTCTTAAAATAAAAGTTTAAGCTTTCGTACGAACGCTTACTAATTACAGGCGCATCGCTTGAATGGCTACGGTGGATGTAAACTTATGAAAGTAATTCGCATAATGTATTTGGCAAAAAATATTGCAAACTGAAATTGAGTACAGACTATCGTGTTTTCCTATTACAAATTCATAAGTGACAAGCTCCTTTTTACATCCACCAAGCAGCCAGCGTGGCATTAAATTAACTAAAAATTAGTGGAAGCCAACCAAAACCAGGAGTTACCATAAAGGCGTGGGTAGCGAGAAGTTGCTGCTGGATTTGCTGTTGAAGGTGATGGTGTGGTGCCGGAGGTGCTGGTGCCTCCTGTTCACCAATGACGTAATTGGAGAACACACCAACAATCAACCACAACCACGTGAGCCACAGCGGCAAACATAGGGGACAGACAGGCAGTCATAGTATAGGGCTCGATGTCACGTAGCAACAAATATGAATGTATATCATGAGTAAAAAAAAAAAACAGAACAAGGAAGGCAAACGTTAATAACGAGAGAGATTTCGATTGTCCCTTTTAATTAAAAACAAAAAAAAAAGAAAAGAAACGATGACCTCGCGCGCGTGTACGCACTCGCGTACGAGCGTGAGTGCGTGAGAGCGAGCTCGGTCGACTTAGAGACACGCGCGGGAACAGGGGAGTCCAGAGGTAAAACGCGGAGAAGTTTCCTCGGTCGTCCAAGATTTATTCGGGTCGAAATTGCCCGAGCGCCGTGTCAACGACGCACGCGATGTCGCGTGAAATTTTGACGAGCCGACAAAACTTTCCCGCGCTACTCGATCTATCGTTTGAAAGTTCGACATTACCGACATTGTGCTTTTCCCGTAATTAACGAGCCTCCCCCGTTGAATGATAAATAGAATTGTTCGCGATGAAAATCTAACATGTCCACACTAGGGGCTCTTAACTTGCGTGTTGACCTTTAAAAATTACTTGACGAGTCAAGTATTAAAAAGAAAAGAGTTGTTAAGTCACAAAAATAATTAAAATTTACTTGAGAATAATGATAAAAATAAAAATCACGAGTGTCATCATAATTTCAAAAGAGGCTGCAATACAAAATAAGGAGATTAACAATAAGAATTAACCGATCGTATCAGCGCAAAGATTCGATTCTGCAAATTGACTGTCTATCGAAAATATGTGGATAAGTCAGGTTTTACTCTAGGAAGTAAGGATGACACTGACCAAGAACATGCGACGTGCTAAACTTTAATTTTTAATAAAGAAAACTTTGTCTCTCGGTGCAATGTCCGCGAGAGGGAACGCATGTAAATATGGACGGCGAAGTGCTGCGCTTATATGTGGTGGCTCGAGCCTTGCCGGAAAAGCTTGTAAAATGTTTTAATTTAAGGTAATATACGAGATTGCGTACGCAAACGTGTAGCTTCTACATTAATAGCGTCTAGCTTCGAATCTCTTGGTACAAACAGTAACGGTGAAAAGAAAGCTCAAAAACACCTTGCCGTCGATAATCTACGGAGCGTTGCCTACCGAAATAGATAATTCTATATAGTGGTAACCCTCGACTAAACACAGACAAAAATCCAGATATTACGGTCGTGGTAAAAAAGAAGGTGTGTGAATGTGTGGATAGCAGAAGAAGTGGTGCAACGATCGTGTTAATTTGATGGACATACCACTGCGGGTACCTGCCCGGGCACGAGAGGCTGACCCGGCGTGAGGCCCTGCTGAATCTGCTGCATCAGCGCGTTTTTCAGCGCTAAGTGGTTGCGCCCGTTTATCAAGAGTTGGTCCTTCAGATGCTGTGGGGGATGGAAATACTTGCAAGGTGGCTTCTCTCGGTTACACCGGCCCTGAAACAAAAATACAGAACAGTGTTTAAAGAGCTGCCATCGTTTTACGATTCAGTGTCGTCGAGGACATAATGATCGGTGAGATACCTGATATTCGTATCAATGATACTATTATATAATAACGCGGATACTATTTTCGCGACACCGCATGATTTAATAATACTCTTATATCTGCATGTACTGCATATATATGCTGGACGCCGCAAAACAATGTTCTTTGACAACATATATTACTATCGCAATGTAAATATTAACTGCCAGTGATCGTACACTCGAGAAAATTCTATGTAAATCGCTCGAAATTCATCATTTTCTGATAAGAGACTCACGAATTTCTGATAAAATTATTGTAATGTCTAGTGTAAAAAAACTAACTTTCAATAATCAAGCAAATTGAAATACATGTGCAACTATCACTTTGTCAATCGATATTGATTCATACATCAAACTCGTCGAGTAATGTTGAACGTTATTATATTTGTATCATTTCGCTGAATTTCTTTCTAGTTTGTCTCCGCCGAATGATGCAAAATTATTCCATTGTTATTCTAACAATTAATACTGAAAGCTGGATATATGTGCTATAAATGTATTAATGAAATTGGATAAGGGATTGTAAAATACAATACCCAGTATTCAGTGTCGTTGAGGACATAATGATCGGTGAGATACCTGATATTCGTATCAATGATACTATGATATAATAACGCGGATACTATTTTCGCGACACCACATGATTTAATAATATTCTTATAGCTGCATATATATGCTGGACGCGGCAAAACAATGTTCTTTGACAAAACAATGCGTAATATAAACTGTCGTCGATAATTTAGCTACAAAAGAAACTCATTCACGTATAAGTGATTCACGATATGGCTAATATCCGAAATCACCTTTCACTATTCACCCTTCATATCGGATTTTCGTTTACTCTCGCCGTTCTCTCTCTCTCTCTCCCTCACCCAGCCTCTCCCTCTCATAATTTGGGTGTTGGGACGAACTGTAACGCGGTTTATGAGGTAAGTTGCGGGTGCAAGGCTGGAATACGGAAGTGGCACGAAGGCGGGAAAGTGGAAGGAGCGCCGTCGAGAGTGCCGAGCCGGGTCTCGGAAAGAGACTCGTGGCGGAGAAACGGAAGCCCGCGGGAAATGAAGGAAGGAAGGGGTAGACGGGACGGGAGAGAGAGGTCGCGCCTGGTGTCGCGGTGGTACTAATTAGACCTTAACAATATTAGTTCAGGTAAGACGTCTATATAGGGGCCGGGTGGTAGCCACCGCCAGAGCCGCCTGTGCTTTCTTACGGAAATCCAGTGGCTTTCGGTAATAGCGGCTTGCGAGCGTAAACTCCGTCAGAGACAGAGGGGCTGCGACAGTTAGGCGGCCAAGGGGAAGCGGTGGGCTGTGTTGGTGGTAGCGTCGGCGGGACGAGCGCTCAAATATCGCCTAATTAAGCACATTCGAGAGTTTCGAGGAATAATGTGTAGGTACCCGCCACGAGAAAGTTTCGACCCATTGAGAGGAAATGCTCCGCCCTCTTCATCGTCTTCGCCGTCGTCGCCGTCGCCGTCGCCGCCGCCGCCGCGCCGTTCTCCGCATCGTCGCGCTCCCCGGGAACCGACCTCTCGTTGACACGGAGCGGTTTAAGCTCGACTAATTGCACAAGACAAGATTCGAGCGTTTGCTCTTGCACAAGCTACATGGCGTGTACGCCGCGCTCGATGTCTGCATCGGAGGCTTTGACGTGATAACATTTGTTACTTCTCACGAACGGGCTGTTTTCAATGTGTCTGTTCTGTTTTCACTTTTAGTATGAATTAACTAGCCAAAGTAATCTTTTAAATTAACCAGATAAAGATCCTCATTTTCCGTTTAAACTTGACATTAAAGATACGAAAGATGGACAGAAATGTACAAACAGTCAAGAAAATAAAAAAAGATAAAGGAATACTAAAAGTATATAAGAAGTTCGGGACAAACAAAATGATAGCCAATGTTTTAAAAAATTAAGCATTTCAAAAAGAGTTCAGAGAAAAAAATGTCTCACTATATTATCTCAATTGTATTCTGATCTAAATAATGTGAGCAATACTTTGTATACTAAATATGTTAATAAATATCAGAATAATGCACATAAATATGGTCTTAGGATGCTTAAGCTGTATATTCTAGATGGTGCCAACTAGTGAGTGCAATATTAAAGTTGATTTAAAGGGGCTACTGATAAGAAACAGCATTCTCTGGGGAACTGTGCGAAACGCTCCCCTCTAATTTTAATGAAACTTTAATGATATTTAGAGGATCTCCGGAAACGGATAGCCTCATAAATTTCATACATAATAATGTAATGTCTCACAAATCTTTTAAGGACCAAATTGTTTCATCCTTATACAAATTTAATTTTAATTCTAACGAATCTACATATATTGTTCCACATAACCCTTTAAAAATCAAGATTATCAAATGTAATAATTGCGTTTCTCACTAATAAATTTTATATTAAAATCAATTCACAATCATTTCGAGAAAAATGTTGCGTACATTTACTATTAAAATGCAAGTTCTAAAAAAAATTGTTGGTTAAATTTTAAACATATTTATATTTAACTATGATATAAAATTATATTGATCTCTGAATGTAGCCACATCATTCTTATTTTATATTTTAACATATGTAATTAAATGTGAAGTTACAAAATATATAATCACAATAAAAATTGTAACATTAAGGTAAATTATTTTTTTCAATAATAAAAATTTAAAATGTGTCATCTAACATGTATAATATTGTAATATGCATAACTGTTCACAAAAATTTACTAATTATAGTTAATTACAAATAATACAATAAACACTAATGTCTTAGACAAAATTCCTATAAAAGTAGCAATATGACATTTTAGACAACCAATGTAATTTATGACACTAATACTCGTGTGCTGTTTAAAAATTTACAACGGGTAGAATATTGGAGAAGTCATTCCTTTGGTTCTGAAAATATAAACGAGTATGAACCTGATATCTCTGCGCACATACATGCGATAATAAGTAATATTCGATTTCATGTTTATCCGCTTAGATCCTAACATAAGGCAGCACACAAAGAAAGCTTTATTTTCACGTTACCAATTCGGAGAAGGTATTAACCTTATTACGTTCTAAGATGACGTAATAACTTCTGAGTCACGCAGTAACAAAATCCTACTTGTTTTAAGACTAAGTTTATAGAACCTTAGACAAACATGACTTAATTATGTTTCTCCAATGTCATATAGCTTTACTATTTACTATAGCATAGCTTTACTATAGCATTACTTTTTTAATTCAAGATTTATATAGAAAAATATTCAATTTAGAAATGAATAGTCTTCTGCTATTTTATACAGATAAACAAACTGATCACTAGCGTTATATGTCAATTTAATTGTCTAATATTATGCAAAAATATTTAAATTAAAACAATTATTGTTATAGTAATTATAAAAAATATACTTTTTTATGTTATTCATCTAATTTGATATTACATATTTGTCCATACAAATTAAGAATATTTATGCAGCTATCCGCATACTTGTATCATATAATTTCAATAAAGCAAACGCATTTTTTTTGCTCTATAATGGAAAGAATATGAAGCCGAGAAGGTTAAAAGACGAAATAAGTCCAATTGATATGGAGGCAGTAAATAATCTTCAGCAGTTTCGTTCCTTGATAACTCATCGGCGCGAAACGAGCAGGTGTGGTAAAGCCAAAAAATGCTTCCAGTCGACCCCTACGAGCGCAACGGGGAAACTTCTGTGCCTTCATTGTTTCAGTCTTCCGGCATTACAAAAGAAACGCCGTGGATGGGAGGCGGTCGGAGGCTCGAGACCGACTCAATTACAGTCGCTGAGCGACGCGATAATTGGGATCAAGATTGATTGTCTTCCTTCCTTTCGCGCTGACCTCCCACAAATACAAGCTACTCGGGACGTACATTTTCTTTTCTCCCGCGCGTCTCACATAAATAAACCAGTGCGGAAAACAAAACGTTTCGTCCAGACGGAATACGGCTCTAACCAAAAATTTTTTTCTCATTTCGCGATCAACTTTATCTAATATGAAGTTGTATGTTTTAGTAATTAAATACTCTGCAGTAGAATTGAAACTTAAATCAATCTAAATATATTATGATAACGCACAATCAAAGATATTTTACTTTGAAAATAAATTAAGATACATACTCTTTACTATAATTGATCCGCTCCATAATCACAAGTCTACAAAATTCTATTTAATTAAATATAGACAGAAGTTCAGCCTAATGAATTAAGATTTTATCAATAGAACGCTCCGATCCGTTGATGTTACATTGTAGTTACGTCGAAAATAGTGCAAAACGACGTACTTGCTCGATGTCAGCGTCATCCATTCGAGCCAAGCGACATAAAAAAATTTTATTGGCATCAATATCCGGCTCAAAATTACGAGGATCACATGTAAGAAGTATGATAGTAAACCGCGCGATAATAATTCGTCGTCGCGTGAGAGCACTCGGATCGTTTTCCCCGTCTAGCTGCGTGGAAAAAACCTACGCGAAGACATCCGCGAAAACGACTCGGCGACGGGGCGCAAGGAGGGTAAAAAGCAGGGAGGGTGGACGGCTAGGCGGGCTTGCGGGATGGTTGCTCACTTCATGGCGGCGGGAGGTCGATGTCGAGCAACCTTTTTCACCTCGATAAAGCCCTGTCGTCGAAGGTGGCCGACGAACACGATCCTTCAGACCCGGGCTAACCCCGTTTTATAACCTCTCACCCATCTACCGTCCCCGTCAGCTCCCTGTCGCAGCCCCGCCGCGCAACGAGAGCGCGCCGAGAAAGGGAGAGAACGTGTTCTCGCTGCTGAAATGAGCATCGCAGACAGAATGATAGAGAGAGACTATGCGGAGAGAGAGAAAGAGAGAGAGAGAGGGAGAGAAGGAAAGAAAGCGCGGAGAGAAAGAAATTGGGTGGATAAGAGGTG